TGCGACGCCTTGCTGAAGATCCGCTTCTGCCCACGGGGCCCAGTCGCCGCCTCCTCGAGGTGGAGCGTCATCGTTCCCGTCGTCCAGAACCTGGGCGATCCTGCGTCCGCATGGAGGGGCGCCGCCAGGGCACCGCGCTCCACCGCCATCGTCCTGAGGCACTCCAGTCAGCTGCCCCAGTCCGTGGTCGCGCCGATGGCCGCCCGCATAGCCGACGCCGCCCGAACGACCTCGAGCGACGGGATCTTGATCTGGCCCCACTCCACGAGCCCGAGGAACGTGGTCCTTGGCTGGCAGGTGCAGGGCCTCGTGGAATGCCAGCGGTCGATGTCGCGGAAGACTTTGGCGACGGGGCTCATGAACTGGGCGATGTAGCCTAGCACCCTTAGCGCGATCGCGTGGTGCATCGCCACTGATGTCGAGGTTGGCCCCCGCTGCAGCCAGCTCCAGCACGCCCGGCCTGAATCTTGCCAGCAGCAGCGCCCAGGGGCGCGCCTCTGCGCCAGCCCCGAACATAAGCCCGAGGTACTTCGCGAAGCCCTGCGCGTCGAACCGCGTCCGCGGTGCGCGAAGCTCGCGCAGCGCATGCGCGCTGCGCGCTGCAGGCGTCGCGGAGCGGGGCCAGCGCGCACATGCCCAGTTGAGCGCGAGCGCGCAGGAGAGCTGCTCTGCCCTGAGAGTGGCCCTTACTTTGCCGAGCTGGCCCAAGGACTGGACCACCGCGCCGACGTCGTCTGCGCGCGCTGTCTGACTGGGGCGCGGGCGCGCCGCGAACGTCGTCGCGAACCGCCCGAGATTGCGAAGTTGGACGCGACGCGCCAGGTCGCGCCGTTCAGCGGGCAGCCTTGCGCCGCCCCGGCAGCGACCGCAAACGCGAGCCGGAGGTCGCCCTTGAGACACGCGCGCGCGGATGCACTGTCGCGGGAAGTTGCGTCGCCGAGAGGAGGCCGCCCCCCCGCGCCCACCGGCGCGCGCCGCCGCCCAGAGCCACTTCTGGTTAAGCGACGGGAAGGCCGCCGCAAACTCGACGGCGATGAACGTGGCGGGCCTGCGCGCGTCGGGGCCCCCCTGCGCCGCCCAGCCCATGGCCCATGGCTCGCGCCATTGCGTCGATCTGGGCGATGCGCGCCCTGGGCCGCGGCCCCCCGAGGAAGCCGCGCTGCGCTCTCCGTGCGGCGGCCGCCGCGTTCCTGCGCAGAGCTCTGATGCAGTTCGCCGCCAGTGCCTTGGCACTTGGCGTCGGTGTTCATCAGCTGCAGCAGTCGAAAATGCTTCGCAGCCCTCTAAATGGGGGCGTCGTCCGATGGGCCCTCGCCCTCGGGCATCGGCACGAGGATCGCGACGTCGACGTCGCGCGGCCGGCGGGGGGCCCGCAGAGCAGCTCGTTCAGCGCGCCCGCGGGCGCGCCGATGCCAGCCGCGAAACGCCGCGCGCCGTGGGGAAGCCCATCTGGCACTGGCGCCGCGCGCTCGCCCGCGCCGCCGAGGTCCTGCGCGTTCGGCGCGAGGAAGCGCTGGTGGGGCTCCTCTCTCAGGGGTTCGGTCTCGAAGATGCGCCCCCCCCCCCCCCCTCGGTGCCTCTGCATCTTGCTCGGGGCGTCGCCCTGGTTGAAGACGCCCCCCCCTCATGCGATGGCCTGTAGATAGAAGCATATTGCGCTTGGTGGGCGCCCGCAGCTTGGCGCGCTGCGTCTCCGCCTTCCTTGCCTAGTGCAAATCCACCGCGCGAATCTCATCTGCGCTGTCGATGCTTCTCTGAATTGCTGCCGACCGTGCCGGGTTCTGCTCGCGTTGGGTCGCGGTGAAGGCGCGCCCGGCTGTCGCTGCGCCCGGGGGCGCGTCGTGCATGTAGATGTCGTTGCGCAAGCTCTCGCGCGCGAAGACGCGCGGTGGCCAGCCTGGCGTTGTTGCACCAAATGGCCCTTGCAACAGATCGGTCGGCTATGAGGGAACTGCCCGCGCGCGGCGCTGCCCGCGTCAGCAGCGCGTCGCGGGCGGCTCTCGCCGCCTCCCGCGCCAGCTCTGTTTCTTTCTCCAGTCGGGCGCGCGCCGGCAGAGGGCCCCAGCCCGGCGCCCCCGCGGCGAGTAAATCGGAGGAATTCTCGCACTGCTGATGTCGGAAGGTGAACTCTGGCATGCGTTGCTCTTCTTTGGAGTATGCGCGCCTTGCCGCGACGCCGATGCACGCTGGGGCGCGATCCGAGATGCCCATGTCCAAGAGCTCCCTCGGGTCAGAAGTCCCGCGAGAGCCCCGGCGCCGTTGCTGCGCCAGCTGCGGCGGGGTCGATGAGAGGATGCGGTCGGTGCGTGATGCGCTCGACCCAGCTGGCCCCGACGCCGCGCAGCGCGTCACCTCGTCACTGTGGACCTCCGGGTTTGGCGCGAGGATGGTTTCCCAGTGTTGTGCCGCTCTGTCCGGACGGGCGAAGTAGCTGGGGTCGGCGCAGGAGGCGCCGCGGCCGACCTGCGGGGGAGGCAGGTGCAGCGCGGGTCTCTCCGAGCAGTTGAAATCGCCGAGGACCGCGGTCGCCGTGCGCCCGGGCGCGCGCTGACACCTCGCGTCGTCAGCCCCCAGGCGGTTGGCGATCGCGTCCATGTTGTCGAGCGTGAGCTCGGAGTGGTGCCTGCAGCGCACGATGAGGCTGGCGCCCTCGACGCCTACGGAATCGCCCCTCGGCGTCGCGATCGCCATTCTGAGGGCCCGCCCAGGAGCCGCCTCGTCCGCGTCGGCCGCTGCGTGTTCGCTCAACTTTGGGGTGGGAGGACCGAGCAGAACATGCCGCATTTGGGGGCGATGCGGGCGCGGCGGGGCGCCCTGCGCAAGGGCGCCGGTCCTGTTCTGAGCCGTGAACCTCCTGGGGCGCGCAAAGCGTTGGCTTCTGTCGCATCGTCCTCGTGAGACACTTCATCTCCTCGCCGCTTCTGGGGGGATCGCGACGAAGGGGCGAGCGGCAGTTCCAGGAGACGAGCTGCGTTGCCGCGCGTAGTGCGTAGTGTCTCCTCGCTGCTCACCGCGACTGCGCGTCTGTCCTATCCCCGCCTCGGCAACCTCGACAATTACGCTGGCGCGAAGGTGGTGTTAAAGACGCCGATCGACTTCCTGGTCCGCGGGCTTTGCCATGTTTACGGAGAGCGGCCCATGTTGGCACCCACTAGTGCAAGAAATATGTTGCGAATGGAGACCTGTCCTTTGTATCTGTCCATGCGCCACCTGTCGTTGGGGAAGGCCTTCTTCATGTGCGTGGAGAACTTCTTGGCGATGCTTTATTTGCGCTTTCCGGCCCCGGCCCAGAGCGATGTAGATGGGCTGGCTGGTGCCGTCGGCTGCGGCTGCCACAGTAAACCGCCGCCGCTGTCCGTCAGGCTGCCTGAATTTAACAAATGCTATCATTGCGTTGGCTGCTGCTGCAGCTTCGTGTCCGGCAAATTGTAACCGAAATCGTCGATGTGGGCTGTCGCCTAGAAATCTGTAGTCCGAGTCGTCGAAGCCGCTGTCTGGCAGCCGCGGGCTCATGGCACCTTTCTATGCTGCGCGCTCGACTTGGTTGGGGGTGCTGATGTAGACAAGGCTGGTGCCATCCCTTTCGTACTTGGCTGCGTCCTCCGCGCTGGCCGCCCTCACCATCCGTGCTGATTTTGCTGCGAGTTCTTTCTGGAGGCAATGGAGAGCGGACCACAACTCGGAAGTGCGTGTTCCTGCTTCCGACGGTTAGAACTACTCTGCCACGTTCCCCTCGAGTTGCTGAAACTCGTTGCCATGTTTCTGAACGTATGGGGGCGATTACAGGGGTGCTGGCGTTGGTGAGCGCGGTGGTGAATTCAGTTGTTTGTCTTGTCCAGCTTGCGCCCAACTGCGAGGCCACCATATGTTCCAGCTCGTTCCTGATCTGTTCCGTGAAGTCAGCGGGCCGTTGAGGTCAGTTTTCTGCTCATTCGTTTTTTTGGGGGTGGCGAAGCCAGGCTCGTCTGGGGCTTAGTGGGCTCTGCGTTGCCCAGGGTCCTGATCGTGAGGATCTTTCCAGCTCGATTGGGTGGACTACCCTCTGACCTCCGTCTCTTGTTTCGGGGGCGCCGACGGGGGCGAACAGCCCAGGGGAGAGCAATCCATGTATCCATGGGCGCCGATGGTCCATGCCTTCGGCGAGGCTCCCAGGCGAATGCGTGTGATGCCCGCCCCTGGGCTATTCGACCACATCGTCGCCTCCGACTCCGTCTCTTCTTTGCCCGCCCGTCCTCTCCGGCGTCGCGAGCCAGAGCCAGCACTTCCATCACCGCCAGCAAGCATCTCCTCCAAGAAGGAAGACGCCTTGTGGAGCGAGCGGCAGCTCGCAGCTCGGCCGTTGCGGAGATCTGGAGTCCGTGGGCGGCACATGGCCCGACCTCAGGCAGGATATGAAACCTGGTCAAGGTAGCGCGCGGCTCGACCTCAGTTGCAATCGATGGAAAGGCTTGCCGCGGAACAGCGGTATCCACTTACTTCCCTGCGGGAAAGAAGCTGTCAAGCCATAGTGGCAACGGGGGAGGATGAGGATGAGGATGAGGATGAGGATGAGGATGAGGATGAGGATGAGGATGAGGATGAGGATGATGATGATGATGATGATGAGGAGGAGGAGGAGGAGGAGGAGGATGAGGAGGAGGAGGAGGAGGAGGAGGAGGAGGGGGGGCATTGCGAGGAGCACGTTAGTAGGAGGAGAAGGAGGATGAGGACCAAGAAAAGGAGTGCGATGAGCAGGTAGAGGATGTGCAGGAATACCGCCAGGAGGATAAGGAGGACTCGCATCAGGAGGGAGACGAGAAAGAGTGAGACGAGGAGGTTAGAAGAAGGAGGAAAGGGGGAGGAGGACCAGGAGGATCAGGATGAGGAGGAGGATAACGAGGAGGAGGACGAGGAGGAGAGGAGGAGGAGGAGGAGGAGCGGGAGGACGAGCGGGGGGGGGATGATGAGGAGACGTTATAGTGGAAGGGGGTGTGAGGCGAATGCGAGAAGGAGAATGACGTGGGACCGAACGAAGGCTCGACAGCGAACGAGGCGATGGCCAGAAAGCAACCGAACGGCAGGGACCGGCCGAAACGCGAACAGGGCCACGGAACCTCACAGGGATAACCGCGCAGGCAGACGGGGGCAACCTACCCAGACCCCCGACGTTGTGATTTTTTCGCGACGTCGATCCCCAGAGGTCTGGACCACTTCCCCGGGACTGGTTTTTCGTCCTGAGTCGTTTTTTGACGCCCCCGAGGCCCGGCGAGGACCTCCAGAGGGCGAAAATAGCGAAAAACCTCCCGTCGTGATTTTTTCACGACGCCAGGAGGTCTGGGTACACTGCCGTTCTCTGCGCAAACATCCACCCACATCGACAGAGAGTCAAAATCGACCCGCTTCCCCTCCGGGGGGGGGCTCCAACCGCACCCCCCGGAGAGAGCCGCCGCCGCCCCTGCGGCGCTCCGCAGCGGGAGAGGTCGGAGGCAGCCCACGCCGGCCCGCACTGCCAGCAGGAGCTCTCGTCAACGGGTGCCTGGCCCCGAGTTCGGGGCGCAGCGAAGCCTCCTCGCAGCATCCTCCACAGCCGCCTCGGCCCCACCCCCCATACCAGCCCATCTCTGGAAGCAGGAGACGGGAGGCAAGTCCTGGCGCGTGGGCCCGATCGACAGCGCGTGCAGACATGCAGAGACAGAAGCACTCGACACACGCCGAGTACGCAGAGCCACCTCAAAAGCGCCGCAACGGAATCTGCCAACGCTGTGCCTGCGGACGTCGTGATCCTTGATTGATTACGATCGCCGACACTCGTGATCAGATTGTTGCATCGGGCAGCTCCGAGGCTCCGGTAAACCATAGGAGGGGAAGGGAACAGCTCGCATCAAGGAGGCAGGAGGATGCGGAGGAGCCATGCCGCGGATGCCCCGTCGGTGCAACCCGAGACGGAACCAAAGCAGAGTGGGAATCTGCCTGCCCAGGACCGCCTGCCTCAGCAGCGGGACGAGCAAATGGCTCCGCCCACTCCGCGAACGACGTGGGGAAACCAAAAGGTATACCGATGCCGCTGCCCCCCGGACCTCCCCCGGAGTGCGTTCTGACCCAAATTGCAGAACACATCCAACATGTGTGTGTGTGTGTTGTGTGTGTGTGTGTGTGTGTGTGTGTGTGTGTGTGTGTGTGTGTGTGTGTGTGTGTGTGTGTGTGTGTGTGTGTGTGTGTGTGTGTGTGTGTGTGTGTGTGTGTGTGTGTGTGTGTGTGTGTGTGTGTGTGCGTGCGTGCGTGCGTGCGTGCGTGCGTGCGTGCGTGCGTGCGTGCGTGCGTGCGTGCGTGCGTGCGTGCGTGCGTGCGTGCGTGCGTGGGTGTGTGGGTGGGTGTGTGTGTGTGTGTGTGTGTGTGTGTGTGTGTGTGTGTGTGTGTGTGTGTGTGTGTGTGTGTGTGTGTGTGTGTGTGTGTGTGTGTGTGTGTGTGTGTGTGTCGATCCCCCTGGCGCGCCACGTCCTGAAGCTCCACAGAAACAACAGACCGTGAGCCGTAAACTGAGCTAGCCGTCGGGCCAGCGGGCCACTGAGGCCCCCAACAGCTAGTCAGACCCGCGCCGACTAGCAGGCTAAGCCCCCGGGCTCGCACCCGAGGTGGGATGGAGGCCTTGCAGGAGCTTCTCGCGGCGTCTGCGCCGCTCGCGCTCCGCAGGGCTACACCTGTCGAGAGGCGGGAGGGGGCCCGGGCACAAGTCCTTCAGCCTCTTGGCACCCCTCTCTGCGGAGACGTACGCCCCGCACCGCCTGCACAGCACAAACGGGCTACGCAAGACCAGCTCATGGGCGTTATCCGCCACGGGGCTGGGGTCTGCAGGAAGATCTGCCGGAGGCTGCTCCGGGCCTCGTCCAGCACCACCCTCCCCCACACTCACCGCCCCCCCACCCTCGACTGAAGCAGCAGCGGGCGGCGGCGCTAGAGGAGGGGAAGCAGAGAATTTTCTCCCTATCCTTAAGATTGACACGCCAGAAGGCGATGGCAATCTTAGGGATGCGCCCTCATAAAAGAAGGGGATCCCTGAGCTTGGCATCGTGATGAGGAGATGCCCAGCATAGGGATAGGGATATGTTCCAGGCTGGTAACTTGCCCTCCCCTGCCTGGGATTCAGTTGGGCGTGTCCCCCTACAGGGGGATTTTTGGGGGGCGGAAAAAAACATTCCAAGAATAGCCCCCCAAATATTCAAAAACAGTAAAAGCCTTCCCCAGACTGTTTTTGGGGACTGCTTTTGAATACTCCCCCCGCAGAGGGACACGTCCGACGTAAGCCTGGGAGCTGGACGGAGCTGCAGGCACACCACCCGGCGCGCAGGCCGCCCTGCGGCGAGGTGCCGAGGCCTGCGGGAGTGGGGCAGGACGCAGGGCAGGGCTGAACCTACACGGTGTTTTTTTCGTTTTCGTTTCCCTGAGATCCGACGCTCCAAAAAAATTAGAGCGGCGGGATTGTGGCCGTTTTTGGCCTCCGGGGGCCCTCGCCGGGCCTCGGCAGCGTCAAAAAACGACTCGGGACGAAAAACCGGTCCCGGGGAAGTGGTCCGGACCTCCTGGGCCCACGCACCAAAAAAAAATTGGAGCAGCCAGGTGTCTGGGATTGTTTTCGTTTTCCCTCGCTTTTGTCTCGGATCCGCCTGTACAGTCGGGGCGTTGACCTATAAGGAACCCTAACTAAGGAACGAGGCCCCTTTTTTCCATAAGTGAAACTTCGATTTCCGATGGAAAACATAGAGGAAAACCTGAGGCAAGCCGTGAAACACTTCAGGAACGCGGAGCCCCTCCCCAACGAAAAGGGTTCCTTCTTCAGGGCCCCGACTGTACCTCAAAACGAAGTCGGAACGAAAAGGGCCCACGAAATCGCCAAACGCACCGTCCCCAGCCCCCGACGTCGTGATTTTTTCACGACCTCGACCCCCAGAGGTCTGGACCCCTTCCCCGGGACCGGTTCTTCGTCCTGAGTCCTTTTTTGACGCTCCCGAGGCCCGGCGAGGGCCTCCAGAGGGCGAAAATCGCGAAAAACCTCCCGTCGTGATTGTTTCACGACGCGAGGAGGTCTGGGTCCAGGTCCAGCCCTGGCGCAGGAGGAGGAGGATGAGGAGGATGAGGAGGAGGAGGAGGAGGAGGAGGAGGAGGAGGAGGAGAAAAGGGGAGGAGGAGGAGGACGACGAGGAGAAGGACGAGGAGGGCAGGAGGAGGAGGAGGAGGAGGAGGAGGAGGAGGAGGCCCAGGGCAAGAGCGGCCTCTGGCGCGCGGCTTCTGGGGGGCGCGAGATGGGCCCTACCCGCGCGCGCAGGCCGCTGCCATCGCAGCGCACTCGGCGACCAGGGGGGCCCCATGGGGCCCGCACCGCAGGGGCAGTACAGGCTGCAATTCGGCGTCGTTTGGTGTCTCTTGGAAGCGAGGGTGGTCAAAAGCGAGGTAGGTTTGTTTCCCCCCTGAAAACGAGGACCGCCTTGGGCTCTTGAGCCCAGACCTCCTCCTCCTCCTCCTCCTCCTCCTCCTCCTCCTCCTCCTCCTCCTCCTCCTCCTCCTCCTCCTCCTGTAGAGGGACACGCCCGACTTAAGTCTACTCCAACTTTTATAATAAAGGGGGGGGTCACAAACCTCCCAGACGAGCCATTTTAGACCCCCCCCGTCTGGGGCGACCTTCACCAAAAAGTAGCCCCCCCCAGGACGTGCCAGGATGAGACGATCCAGACCCCCCGAGAACGGGGCAAGATCGGTCAGCATCGAATCGGGAAGCTGGACCGCATCGAAATGGGCGTCGGATCGGGCTGCACCGGCACGGGGCCGAGCGCGAAGCGGATCGGCTGCGTTGGGATGTAAGGTAAGACGAACCCAGGACGAGGATCAATTCGGGCGAGGAGAAATCGAGAGTCTCTGAGATCCCGCGGCTCCGGAGGATGTCTCGGGCGCCGCGGCCCTCACACAGCGTTCCGGAACGCTCTGAGAGCATTGTGGAACGCCCTGGGACGGATTTTACAGTCGGGGCGTTGACCTAAGGAACCCTAAACAAGGAACGAGGCCCCTGTTCCCCACAAGTTAAACTTCGATTTCCCATCGAAGCCCTACGCAAAACCAAAGGCGAATGGCAAAACAACTGAGGAACACCGAGCCCCTCCCCAACGAAAAGGGTTCCTTGTTCAGGGCCCCGACTGTACCCTCGTCCCCAGACCCCCGACGTCGTGATTTTTTCACAACGTCGACCCCCAGAGGTCTGGACCCCTTCCCCAGGACCGGTTCTTCGTCCTGAATCGTTTTTTGACGCTCCCGAGGCCCGGTGAGGGCCCCCAGAGGCCGAAAATAGCGAAAAACCTCCCGTCGTGATTTTTTCACGACGCCAGGAGGTCTGGGTCCTAGGCCCGCCCGATAGAATGTCGGCATCGGACCGGATCGGGCCAGCCAGACTCGATGCCGAATCGGATCGACGTGGGCCCTGTGAGAGGGCGCGCGGCACGCTCGCGCGCCCACCGCGGCGGCGGCCCTGCAGCCTCACAGGCCGTGTCGCCCCGGCCTTGCGGCCTTCGACGAAGGAAACAGGGCATAGATGTAAACTTTCGGAGCTGCGAGCAGATCTCTCGGATCGGCGCTGGGCCCCACCAGGGGCGGCGCCAGAGGCGCCGCCATGGGGGCCCCAGCGCCGATCCGAAGAATCCGCGCGGAGCTCCCGAAAATGAGGCCGTTTCTCCTTGCTCGAGCCCTGCAGCCTCACAGGCTGGCCCTGGCCTCACCTGGCGGGCAACGAGAGGGGGGGACTGGCACACAAGGCGGGGAAACACCGGCCTGGAATCTGCGATGCATCGCCGATAGATCGGCGGTAGGCCCCCGATCGCAAACCCCCACGCTCCTGGGCGGGTTGGGGCCGTCGGGCCCCCACCCCAGACCCCCGACGTCGTGATTTTTTCACAACGTCGATCCCCAGAGGTCTGGACCCCTTCCCCGGGACCGGTTTTTCGTCCTGAGTCGTTTTTTGACGGCCCCGAGGCCCGGCGAGGGCCCCCAGAGGCTGAAAATAGCGAAAAACCTCCCGTCGTGATTTTTTCACGACGCCAGGAGGTCTGGGACCGGCGACGCATGCACGACTGGGGCCCGATAGCTGGGGCCTCCGGCGGCCCTCTTCGGGACGACCCGGGCGTCCCCAGCGCGCTCTCGGCGAGGCGCGGCCGCGGGAGGGCCCCCCGAGGCTGGAGAGCTGCCGAGGCTGGCCGACGACGCCCAAGAACACCTCCCACAAGCCTCGAGCATTTTCCTGCAGTCATCGGCCTGACCTAAGGAACGATACATAAGGAACGAAGCCCTCTATTTACCCCGAGGAATAACGCAGGAGGAGCGATAAGTAACACATAACGCATACGGAACTGCAAATAACGCATGCAAGCCAAAGGAACGACCGAGCCCCTTTTGAAAAGCAAGTGTTCCTTATTCAAGCCGCTCACTGTAGGGTGGAGGGCCCAGGGTGCAATCCACATGGGCTTTTTGCACCCCGAAGGCCAACCCGTCCTGTGCGTTCCCCTCTTGCAGATTCAAGCCTCGGGCGCCCATCGAAACGGCATCTCAGACTTCACCCTCTGCTCTCCACCCCCAGGAAACTCGGGAGCGGCCGAGAGGGGGGTGTCCACGAGGGGGGTGCAAATCATGACTGGATGTGCGCGGCCCAGCGGGGGGGCCAGGGACGCAATGAAATAGGAAGAGGCGCCGTGAAATCTGGGGAAATATCGTGGCCCCCGCCATGATATCCACCCCCCCCCAGTCCTCCCCCCCCTCTTCCCAGACCCCCGACGTCGTGATTTTTTCACGACGTCGACCCCCAGAGGTCCGGACCCCTTCCCCGCGACTGGTTCTTCGTCCTGAGTCGTTTTTTGACGGCCCCGAGGCCCGGCAAGGGCCCCCGGAGGCCGAAAATAGTGAAAAACCTCCCGTCGTGATTTTTTCACGACGCGAGGAGGTCTGGGTTTGCCGCCCCCGAGAAGCACCTCCAGAGCACCTCGAGCTGCGCGCCCCCGCCACGCCACGCCGGGCCGCGCCGCCCCCGAGGGCGGCCCGCGCGGCCTCACAGGCTGTCCCGCCCCAGCCGCACGGCCTGCGGCGGCCCCGCGGCCGGGTCCTCGAGCTGCGCGTGGGCGCCCGCCGCGTCGGGCCGCGCCGCGCCGAGGTCGCGGGCGGCCGCCGGGGCGGCCGCGGGGGCCGCCTGCGAGGCCTGCCGCCAGGGCTCGGCCCGAGGGGTGCGTTCCGTCCTGCGCCCTCGCTCTGCCTCCGCGTCGCCCCGGCCCTCGCTCTGCCTCCCTCTTGCCTCCGTTCTGCCCCTGCCTTCGTTTTGCCCTTGCCTCCGTTTTGCCTCCGTTTTGCCCTTGCCTGCGTTTGTCGTGCTCGTTTCGGCTTCGCTCCCCCTCCGCTCCCCACTCGCTGCGGCGCCGAAACTCAGGAGGGACAGAAAGCGCCACCAGCATCAACTTTCCGACGGTCCGCGCGGACGTCTTGGATCGGTGCTGGCGCCCCCCTGGCGGCGCTCCCGGCGCCGCCCCTCCCTGGCGCGCTCCGAGAAATCCGCGCGGAGCTCCACCGGTTTATGGTTTTATGCGCATGCGGTCGAGAAACGTCCTCCGCCTCCTCATCCTCCTCCTACTGCGCCTCCTCCTCCTCCTCCTCCTCCTCCTCCTCCTCCTCCTCCTCCGCATCCTCCCCCTTAGCCTCCTCTTCCTCCTCCTCGAAATCCCCTCCTGATCCGTCTGCCCCCCCCCCTCCTCCTCCTCCTCCTCCTCCTCCTTCCTCCTCCTCCTCCTCCTCCTCCTCCCCCTCCTCCTCCTCCTCCTCCTCCTCCTCCTCCTCTCTCCTCCTCCTCTCCTCCTCCTCCTCCTCTCTGCTCCCCCTCCTCCTCCCCTTCCCCCTCCCCCTCCTCCTCCCCTTCCCCTCCCCCCTCCTCCTCCTCCTCCTCCTCCTCCTCCTCCTCCTCCTCCTCCTCCTCCTCCTCCTCCTCCTCCTCCTCCTCCTCCTCCTCCTCGTAAAGCAAGCAGCCCACGAGATCGCCAGAGCACCACTTCGGCCGAGCCCCTGCCTGCTCCTGGGCCAGCCGCAGCTGGCCGCTGGCGGCCTCGGCGGTGGCCGGGGGCGTGCGCAGAGCGACGGCCGCTGCGGCTGGGGGGGCACACGCCGGCCCAGCCTGAGGGGTAACGTGAAAGGGGGAGGAGCAAGAGGAGGAGGGGGAGGAGGAGGAGCAAGAGGAGGAGGAGGAGGAGGAGGAGGAGGAGGAGGAGGAGGAGGAGGAGGAGGGAGGAGGAGGAGGAGGAGCAAGAGGTGGAGGAGAAGAGGTGGTGGAGGAGGAGAAGGAGGAGGAGGAGGAGGAGGAGGAGGAGGAGGGCAAGGGACGTCAGTATAGGCGGCGAGCCTGGGGGGAAGTGAGAAGCAGCAGGCCTCCTCAGAAGAAGGAGCGGGCCTTCTCAGAGGGCGGCGGGGCTTCTCTCGGAAGCCCCCTGGCCAACCGAGACGCTCCCTCGGAGAAGGCTAGATAGAACACCTTCTCAGAAGGCCCTGGGCCTTCCGAGCCTTTTGAGAAGGCCCGCCCCTTTTCAACTCCCTCCTTCGCTCGCCGCCGATGATTCGCCACGAAAACACATACGTACACAGACACCCGTCGACGAATTTTGCCTGTGCCTCTAAAGTCGCTGGCTCTGAGTGGGGACTTGCGCACCGCCACCCTCCCCTAAGGTCCAGGAGCAATCCACTGGAGGGTGCCTGTGTGTATGCTATGGTGGCGGAGTTAGCTCGCCGATGGATCGGCTCGAAGGCTCCTGGCTTGAGGCTCCCACATCTTCGTCAGCTCTCCGCAGCCTTCCGGCCTCGGGCCGCCTTCCGGCTGCTGCGCCTCGCCGAGGGCCCCCAGGGGTGCCCGCATCGCCCCGATCGGCCACCGTAGGCCCCAGTTTATGACCCCGAGGCCAATCCGGGGAGGAGGAGGGGGGGGAGGAGGAGGAGGAGGAGGAGGAGGAGGAGGAGGAGGAGAGGAGGAGGAGATGAGGAGGAGAGAGAGGAGGAGGATGAGAGGAGGGGGGAGAGAGAGGAAGGAGGAGGAGGGGAGGGGAGGAAGGAGGGTGGGGGGCTCCTCGGCTGTGCACCCGTTCCCCCCCCCTCCCCCCCCCCTCCCCTCCTCCTCACCTCCTCCTCCTCCTCCTCCTCCTACCTCCTCCCTCCTCCTCCTCCTCCTCCCTCCTCCTCCTCCTCCTCCTCCCTCCTCCTCCGTCCCTCTCCTCCCTCCCCCCTCCCTCCCTCCCTCCCTCCCCCTCCCTGCCTCCCTCCTCCTCCCTCCCTCCCTCCCTTCCTCCCTCCCTCCCTCCCTCCCTCCCTCCTCCCGCCCTCCCTCCCTCCCTCCCTCCCTCCTCCTCCTCCTCCTCCTCCTCCTCCTCCTCCTCCTCCTCCTCCTTCCTCCTCCTCCTCCTCCTCCTCCTCCTCCTCCTCCTCCTCCTCCCTCGGCCTGAGCCCAGCGCGGTCCCGACTTCAGCGTCTTGGCTGCCCCCCTCCCCCCCGGCCGCTGCCCGTGACGGCCTGCAGTCGTGGAGGACGGCGCGCACAACTCCGGGGCCGCGGTCCTGGCCGTCGGGCGGCAGGGCCCGGTCGAGCGTCAGGAGCGCCGAGAGCATCTGCCGCGACGGCCCCGAGCTGTGGGCGCCCCTCTGCGGCGCGGGGGACCTGAAGTCGAGCCGCTTGTGGTACTCCAGCTGGGCGGGGTCGGAGCCCTCCTGCGTGAGGGCAAAGTACGCCTCCTGCATCCAGCAGATGAACTCGTCCTGGTCCTGGTGGGACAGCCGCAGGGCGGCCAGGAGGGCGCCCCCGGCGTCCACGTGCTGCGTGAACCCGGGGGTCTCGAGCCTCACGGAGTAGCCCGGGGTCAGGACGTCGACCCAGGCCACGAGCTCCGCCTCGGCGCCCAGGTCCTCCCAGTGCTCGCACAGCGAGGAGGCCTCGGAGCACGTCTCCGAGGAGTCCTGGCTGGAGGCCGCGGCGAAGAGGTCCGCGGAGGCGGCCGCGGGGGCCGGGCCCCCGACCCAGGGGCCCTGCGGGCCGCCCGTCCTGCCGCCGTGCTGCGTCGACCCCGACACGCTGTCCCTCAGCATCGGGGAGGTGTCGGTGAACTCGCGGATGCCGACGAAGTAGGCGGCCTTCCCCTCCCGGTTGACGAAGCGCACGCAGAAGATCTCGACGTCGAGGGGTATGCTGGAGCTGTCCTTCATGGAGACGTGGAAGGCCGCGCTGAGCCCGACCGCATCCTCGCTCAGCAGCCAGGCCCGGCCCATCTGCTCGGAGAACTTCTCGCGGTCCTGCTGGGACGCCATGAAGTGCCTCAGGTCCTCGCCCAGGAGTGGGCGCATCGGGTTCAGCAGGAGCATGTCCACCAGCTCGGAGGACCCATCCTGCAGCCTGAAGTCGCTGTCGAGCTCCACGACGGCGTCGCAGACGCCCCGCAGCACCGAGCGCGCGGCCTTCAGCTCGCTCCTCGAAGTGTTGGCTTCCATGTCGTACTGCACGATCAAGAAGGCCGACTCGTGGAAGAACGAGACCACAACGGCAAAGACGCAAGTCGCCAACAGCACCTGAGAAATCCTCTGCGCCCGTGGTGGCAGACAGTCTTCAGTCAAAAGTGGGTCCTCGGCGCCGAAGTAGATCGTGGTGCAGATTGATGAGGATACGGCACATAGCCATGCGAAATTCAAGCGGAAATTTGTATTAAACAAGCACACCACCAACGTAAAACCAAAGGGCACCAGGCAGGAGGAGGCCACCAACACATGTTTCGAGGCCACGGGTGAAACCCACACGACGACTAATGTGACCAAGCAGAAAGACCAGGCATTCAACGTTCGCAGAGTCAGAGTCCGAGGACACGCCCAAACCCAGAGGTGGACGAAACAGCCCACCAGGAAGAGGATGTCCTGCACGAAGGAGTTCGGGCGCTCGACATTATACACGGCTCGATATAAGCCGAGCCCAAGACTGCACGCAATG